TTATATATGAAAACTGAGTAAAACACTGAAAGTGATGTATAAACTATGGGATAAAAAGAAACCCCAATGATTTGAAGTTGGATATGATTTATATCTAATTAGTTGTATGTTTTTATCCCTTTGCCGAGGAGCTAAAAACATACATCCCCAAAAACCACACAAATCGTTGAAAAAATAGGTAAAAGCTGATCTTTACGTCGCAGTTTCGAAACCACTGCAGGACTTGGAGACCGTTCCTTTGGATAAGACAGTATAAAAGCGTAATTGGTGTTGGCACATGAAAGAATCATCCCTGCTCAATGGCCTTCAGTGCCGTTTGTACTATTAGATTTAATTTTGCAGCTCTCTACCATCAAGTAGTGGCGTCTCCATATGAGTAAAAGATTCTCGAGAGGGACGCTAAATTTCAAACAAACAAGGTGTTTTTTTTTTTTTTTTTTTTTTTTTACACAAAAAAAAAAAAAAAAAAAAAAAAAACTCGCACAGATTACTGGCAAGGCACACACGATTGTTTCGGTGATGTCGAGCAGGTGCTTGAAATTCAAGTGCAGGTTCTAATCACCCCCCCCCCCCTCACCCCAACCCAGCGTATAAAAATCATCACGCCTTAAATTTTAATGAATTTGGTCAATACAGGAAGTTTACATATCGTTTTCAACTCATGGGAAAAAAAGTCAGCTCCTGTCTCGTGCGAAATTCCCGAATAGGGAGGGGAGGTTCTGAAATTATATTAAGTCAGCCATGTTTTCACATGAACCTCAACTTGAATACTTTTTTGAAAACTAGATTATTATGTAAATTCCTTTTTTTATTTAGTAACATTCAATAATCACCTGTACATAATGTTCATGTATTTCAGCTGATCATGATTCAGTATACAAGTGCATGCTCCAAGTACGACCAGTTTAATCTTAGACAGGCTAATGACGAATAAGTTGAAATTACAGAACATTTTCTTTTCTCGTTAATGTCAGCAGTTCGCAAATTCTTTGTCCTGTATAATGGCTTTGTTTGTATATACATGATTTAGACCAACTTTAAGGCAATTGTTATATTATATCATTATTGACTGCAAAACTTCAAATAAAGAAAAATGACGTTTGCTTTAACAGCCGACAGGATATAGCACCTGCTACCCCCTCTGGTGTTTTTAGGAATCCGTGTTTTTGTCCTGTCCACAATTTGAATTGTTAAAAGACTTCGTGAGATAGATCCTAGTTCATTATGTTAAACTTTTTTCAATCTATTTTAATTATATGAAGGTTCATTATGCTATATTGTTCTATTTTGTTTCAATGGTTAAGGAAAGAGATTTAATAGATGTCAAAGTTTAACAGTGATCATAATTAAATGCACATTTGAAGAAAACAAAGAATTTCTTCACTTTGATCATAAATAAAGAATTAATTTTCAAGGATGATTATTCTAAGTTTGTATACTGATCACTAACTTTTTTATTTCTTCGCCACAGAAAATGATTTCATGTTACAAAACCGGTATAAAAATCGATTGAAAGCACCGGAAAAATATTTTGATAAATAACAGAAATCAAGGTGAAGAGTACAAAGAGCACGTGTAATGTAGTACTCTTTGCCCTGAACTTTGCCGCTTTATCTCGATTCACCTTGTCAACATTACATACATACAAGGTACACACATACATATACCAGATTAGACTGATTGAGTAGCGTTAACTGCAGCAAAGTAGTGAAGACAAATTTCTGAACTTTCTGTACGCACGGCTCTGGTTAGCTATATATTTTGACCTATTAAACTTGCATAAAAGGTTTGTATCAGACCGACTGATTAGATCCATTAAAATTAAAGAATATTAATCTAAAAAGAATTCGTCATGATATTGAAAATTCCTCTTTATTGTCGTGCAAGTTGGTACATTGTAGATATATGTGTCAAAGACCAAGGTGTGGATATATTATATTATCAAAGATTAAATAAAAAATATACCGGTATGAAAACGGTGACAAATGTACATTAATATTTTGCAGATGTTCTATAACTAATGGTCTTATCTTATTATTGTTAAGTATGCAATGAAATATATCAAGATAATGAACAGTTCAAGCTCAAAAGTCCGTTAAACAATACAAATTTAGGAGCAAACACAGACCAGAGGTGGGATCAAGTGCCATTGAGGAATGAGCATCCCCTGCCGACCTGTCATAGTCGCTGTGTATTCAATTGCTGAATATGGAATCCCGTAATGGGGGCTCATATACATGTATGCATTAATTTTCACCTTTTCCCGTCATTTTTTGCATAGGAACCTTTTCTTGCTACATATATCCGATATAGCCTATATGGTATGAATATATTAAAAACAGGAATATATTTTTAAAAATGCATCTTGCAAGCAAAAATGTAATTTTGGAGTGATTTGAAATATAACCTTAAAAGAATGAGCACAAGAAAAAATAAAAATAAAAACCACACCGTGATATGTCACCTTAAAGATAGGCAATTTTATGATTATTTCTTAATTCTTAATTATTCAATTAATTTAGTTGCCAGTTTGGCGGATAAAGATATTTGTCTTCATGCTCTATACAGTCAAATTAATGATAGGCGAAACACATAATTTACATGAACTGTTTATTGAAACCCAAAGTTTGCATTATTTATTTCAACTAGCAATTAAAAAATCATAATGTACAGTTCCAAACATTATAGATAAGAAATATTATTATACGAGCAATAACTTTTTAATATTTTTTCAATAAATGTAAGCATATCATAATGAAGTTTAATTTATAAAAGCACCTTTTTACCTTGTCACACTTCCCATAGTTTTATTCTGATATTCATATGTGTAACAAATATTCAATGAAAGCTTGTAAACCTTATTTGGTTTCGCGAGACGGTATGCTCGCGAAAATTTCATTCTCGCGTATAATACATTTCCTTAAGATTATATAGAGCAATGACCACAATTCGTGAAAATTTTGTCTCGCTAATAAAGAGTCAATGACTTTTTTTTTTAAGCCATCGCGAAAACTAAGTGATCTACAGTATTTGAAAATCATTTTTCTTGGGTTCCCCCTCCCCCTTCAACAAAAATGATTCTACGCTACTGGAGCAGTATGTGCAGAGTTTACTTATTTTCAAATATTCCAACAGACATCTGATGAAATAGACTGCATTAAAAATTCAGTGGATACAAGACGTTTACATACATGGTAATTTGAAATAAACTTTAAAATTTCAAAACTTTTCCTTATTTATATACTTTAAAGCTGGGGATCCACCGAAAATCTAAACTTAAAAATAGCAAAATCGTTCATCTTATTTGACCTTCAAATGAGTGGAATCATTAACGTTTTTCCATTAAATAACTTACCACAAAGTTATGATAATGTTATTGACATTTAAAGTTTTCCCGGAATTGGTTTATTGTCCATTTTGTCCTCTCTAAGATAGTTCATGACTCCAAGGGCTTTAACTTTTTCATTTCATTTGATAAAAATATGTAGATAAACCCATTACTTTTTCTCTGTTGTAACTTATAATGTCATTTATAGATAATTATGCAAAATTGTCTATGTAAACAACAGTTTATCGACCTAACTTATTATTTACATTGTTACTTTATTGTTTGAAAGAACCAAAGAATAATTAAGTGAATAAATAAAAATAAATTCGTCGGATTTATCCAAGGACGTATAAATAAAATGTCTTACCTTAACAAACGATGATAGCAAACGTGTTCGTTTTTTTCTTTCTTCTTTTCTTTCTTACCCTAACCATTATCCTTAGCCTGATCATTGCAAATTTTTTTCTTCTTTTTCTAACCTTAACCAATTATCTAACTCAGATTATAGCAAATGTGATTCGATTTTTCTTTCTTCTTTTTTTGAATCAAATTTTACTACATTTCAGTTTATATTACCTTCCTCAGTATGCATACATATGAAATATACGGAGATAAATAACAATATTTAAGCTAAAAGGTCAATTTAAACAATACAAATTATGAGCAAAACAAACATTGGCCTCTAAAATATCAGAGATGGGATTAGATACCATGGAGGAGTAAGCCTCTCGTGCCGACCTGTCACAACCACCGTGCTCCTTGTCATGACCGAAAAATGAGGGAAAAATCTGTCGCCAATTTAGTGTGTAATGCTGTAACAACTAGTTTGCAAATTGAAACGTCTGTAAGCTTTTGACTTAATGATAGATCGTGTTTGCTGTCAAGGTCATTGTATTGACCATATCTGAGAAGATCTTAACATTCAAGGTATCAACACCGTTATTATTAAAATTTTTATTTCTAAACAAAATACTTTAAAGAAAAAGATTTACCGATAGAAATTTGCAAAAATATAAACAGATTAATTGTAATAAATCAAATTCATATTGAATTGATCTTCTAAGGTTATAATAAAGCGCTCTGAGTGTTTGTTCTTTTCACGATTTACGCTGTTTATAGAATTTCTGAAACAAAGTTGATATTAATGACCATTTTCCTTTTTAAAAACTAATATGTTCTCTGTATATTTAATCCTGCTAACAAAACCTTACTTTTGCTAACTATAATTGACTATAGTAAGCTATAGTAAGTACTTTGATACCTTGATTTACTATGAAACTTTACTCTAGAACCTTGTTTTTTTTTGGTTTTTTTTTAAGATTTAGAGCCTTAGCATTTCTTTCCTTACATACCATTGATGTAATTTCTTGAAAAAATATGTAAATTTACTTAAAATACTTCTTCTAAATATCAGAAAATTACTTGGGAATTAAATGAAATAACATATGTCTAAACGAATTTCATATCAAAATAACTTTGATAAACTTAAGTGAAAACCTTGATTTACTATTAGTTTACACTAGTCAACTATAGTGCTTTTTAGGGTCAGTTTCAGCATATCAGAGTAAAATTCCTATTTTATTAATTGAGCATTTGCAAAAAAAGAAAAAAATTGATACAAATTCGCAAAACCATTATATATGTCAGAAGAAATAAAGAAGTCAAAACAAAATCATAGAATATTTTTTAATGTTCACCAAAAGCAATGAATCTACATGTAAATGACCCATACGTTTATCCTTTTAACATGATCATTAGATAAATGTCATGGGTGAATCATAGTTCAACTACAGTTCTTTTCCCATCAAGCTGAACACTATTATGTTGCGAAAGCGTTAGCATTTTCATTATGTAGCATAGCTTTTTTTTGGTCGCCGCGTCTTCCATATAGTACAAAGACTGAACTTGAAGACATGTCTTCCAACGTTGCGGCCTGCGCATTTTTGCAATGCGTTGTGGTTGCAGTGCCAATGTGTCAGCTACGCTTGTTCAGGTGGCAGAATTACAAAGTTTCAGAGAGCTCTGGATGGAAGAGAAAGACAGCATTTTGGACGCAAATTTCTTTAAAAGTTTGTTCACTTTGGATGCGTTTTGGAATTTCTCCAAATCCAATTCGTCAGGGGAAATCCATTCTGAATCTTTCTCGAGTGAATACCCTATAAATATAATGAAATGGTAAGAGACCATTTGCTTTATCCTTTAACAAACATTCATTCTTTTCAATGCAATAATATAATATTTAACTGAACTCAAACGATTCCTTACCATATTTCATAAGCTTTTTTACTGTCTTCAAACAATCATTATTCCCTCCATTGGCAATCAAGAACAACGCTGATTGTCCAAGTCCATCAACAATATTTACATCGCTGCCTTGTTTCATGAGATACTGAGCAATTCTAAATTTCCCCTCCTGGAGGGCCAGAAGAAGAGGTGTTTTTCCAGACTCGTCAATGCAATCAACATTGGCACCTGCTTTGATGAGAAATTTCACCATATCAAGATCATCTAAACCCACGGCCGTTGTCAAAGCCGATGTTGCAGAATCCAGACTCTTTAGATTAATGTCACAGACATCTGCAAAATAAAATCGAAATCTTAATATAGTCACCATTGATTATGTCTAAAATTGCTAAAATTGCTAATAACATAATAATTTCATCTAGTTGTAATCAAAAATGAGGTGTAATGAATAACGTAATGAAAAACGTACCACTCTCCAAAAGTACTTCGAGAGTATCATAATCCCCATTAACAACTGGGACAAAGATAAGGGGTTCTCCTTCCCCATCAAAGACATTCGGATTTGTTCCTGCTTTCAGGAGCTTTCTGATCACGTTTACATGCCCCTGTTGAACAGAGTTGAAAAGCAGGACAGATTGAGCTCGTGCTTTATCACATTCCATTTTTATAAATTCAAATTCCCAATAACAAGATTAGCAGATGTATTTTTAATGTGTCCTCTTTGAAGAAGCACTTCTCTTTCTGATGAGTTGTAAGAAAGATATGATAAAATCCAAGACATGTCTTCTATTTATATATTATTGCAAGATAACTATTAATATTAATGAGACATAAGCACCGCCTTTTTGAATTTGATGTGCAGTATTCCAGTTAAGTGACAGCCGCTTTATGAAGTGTAAACCATTGTCCTGGTCGGCGGGGACCACAAAATAAATCAGCAGTTGATGGCAAGAAAGAAACAAGCATATGATTAAATTTTCACCTTGAGGTTGAATTCGTTATGTATGAATTTCCAATGAGACGTTGGCGGCAATCTGTTGGAGACTGATCATTCAGTACAATTTTTTATTGTTGAACCTGTTCTCAAATGCATGTATATTGGACTAAAAACCATATTCATTCTACAGACAATAAGAAATATTTTGGGATCTTTAAAATCTGAAAAAATATTCATTAAATAAAAAAGGTTATTGCAAGCGTATAAGTCTTTTTAAGACAATTGTATTTTTAATTTTTTTCTTTTGTTTTTCGTTTAAAGTAAATTCTTGAAAATGTCGGCTTGAATCAATTCCTCACATTAATGAATAACAAACTTAGTCTTTTTCAAATTAAAATTATTTAGGTATGTCCTAAGCCATCTTCCAAAATCAAGGGTTTTTGATCCGCTCACGACCCCTGACTTGAAGATGATTCTGAGCATCCTCTCGCCAGAGTATTTCTTATCAAAGAATTAAGAAATTAGTATGGAACTTTATCTCATACGTGTTGGTGATACAGGCCGTTGGATAAACTTAATATGCTTTATCCACGGGTGATGCTTTATCAATAGCACTTCTAGTTTTGACACGATCCTTCGCTTCAAGATTTTATTTCATTGAAACTTTTATTTGTGAAAATTATTGTCCTTATAAAATGAATGATAAAGGGCAATAATATCATTAAAAGCAAGAAAAAGACTCGTATATGTCCAAGAAGTGTCTTATTTTATCAAGAAACCTGTATTTGCTACTTGAAGACATGTGTTAACCCTCCCCCCTTTAAATCGTTTTCGGAAAAAGTAAAGACTAGCAGTTAAGTTGTTGTTATAAGATTCCTTTAACATCTTCAATAATGCTTTCTTGTATTAGGCTATACTATACGTATGCCTACCTAATAGTACATGTAATGTAGGTGTAACTTACCATGGATCAACAATGAATCTACAACTTGCTTAACACGGTTTTATTTTCTGCTTCGGAGCAAAGAGTTAATTTTCACGATGCCATGGTCCTTACAACTTTCAGTCAGAAGTTCGTTCGATGTAAAGCTCCAGCAGTTGTCACATAATGTTTTCAAAGAGGCAGATAGCAAAAATTTTAACTTTTGAACACGATCTACTTTCTTTCGAAGCATGTAATCATCAACGGTGCTACGTCATCAAGTTATACGTCATCAATTATTCATGTAGTTTTGCAGGGGAAGTCTCAAAGTTTTGTTAAAACGAAAGTCGTATGAGATAAATAGAACATCTATAATTGTGTGATTTGATATTGGCTTTATCCAACTCGTTGAAATGGTGTATATTCGCTCGGCAAGCCTCGCGAATATATACACCATTTCAACTCGTTGGATAAAGCCAATATCAAATCACACAATATAGATATCCTCTACATATTACTGATCATAGCAATATAATTCCCACCAGTGATGCAAAAATTAGTCTTTTATTATCATCGATGTCCATAGGGAGTCTAATTTTGTTTCATATAGATTCAATTCCCAAATATTTTTACTCAAGCCCTAGAGGGGCTTGAGTTATCTAAAACGATGCTAGGTCATCGAATTACTCAGTTTTAAAACACGAAAACATATTACTTTTGTAGATAAAAATATTTCTAGAATATTAAAAATTTATCCTGAAAACGTCTGTATATTCAAAGATATTAAGTGTTAAATGTTGGATTCTTTTCTATGGCGAATGAACAATGAGTGAAGCTCCGCAGCCGCAACAGTTTCCATACAGAGATTTCGCGCTTTTCTTAGCGTAGGAATCTCAGGTAACTTTTACAATCGCCGACAAAGCATCTTTGGACGAGTCCACTGATTACTCTGAAAGGTGACGCAGGTTACCCATCGTTAACAAAACTAAAATTGCTTCTCACGGGCCTACAAATTATGTGCACTTTGAGTGACTGTAAAATAATAGCACAAAAGTCATGTTAATTACTCCCTCATACGTTTTTTTATTTAAAAAAATCGTACTATCTTCAGCTTTGGTATAACTTCTTTTGGATTCGTACGGAATATGTATTGCATTGGCGTCGTAAGTAAATGAAAGTAAGGGTGGGGGGCTGAGTGTAAGAATTTTTTTAGACCTACAAAATAACCTGTCAAGCAAAAAAAGAAAGGAAAACATTTCCATTGTCCAAACACGAAAATCTTATTTCGGGGGAGGGTAGGTTTGCCATTTTTAACCTATACTGCAACGTTTCAGTGAAAAGTGGGGGAGGGGGCTAAATCTAAGCTGCAATGTTCAATGTCTATACTAAGTCTACCTTTGGAAAAAAAAGGTTCTGACGCCTACGTATTGTACATGTTTGTATGCCCGGAGCCCCCCCCTTCCCCCAGCCACTTTGAAAAACGTTTTAAAGACAGTTCCTAATTGACTCTCTACAGCTTGAGTATCTCTGACGTTTTGTCAGTATATACTTGTTAATCGATAATTTGATTTCTAGAATTAAATGAATTGTAAAAAAGGTCACATACCTTCGGTGAGAATGACAGTTATTTAAGGATTGATTTTATTGTCTGAATTTCAAACACCGACCACGAATTCGATGTAATGCTGTTTGATTGCTTTGTCTATTGATCATCAGATCAATACCAGTGTCCTTATTTCCTCATTACAGAGACTTGTTAACATGGAGATGGTCCCATCCATCGTCCTCTTAAATCACTAATGTCGTTTTTAACATGCATAGTGTATTACATCCTGGTTTGATCTATTGAAAACAATGTCACTTAGGACTGTTTTGAATAAACTGTTCTATGGGTACAAACTATATTTTTTAGCTGTTTTATATACACGGAGCAGATAAGCTTTGTGTTCTGATGTTTATTACTGTAAAATGAGTTCAAAATTGACAGAAAATAATGTTTTCAAGCTATATGTATAAAAAAAAATATCGTTAAAGAAAACAGATCATTCCAACTTTGGAAAAAATACATATTTTTCATACAAAATATATATGAAATTTATAAGTATAATAAAGTCTGGAAAAGCTCGTATAGACTGTAAGTTTTACTAAAGTTTGTTGTTAAACCTTTTGACATTTGATAACCAGAACTAGGTTGGGGATACATTGAAAAGTAACTTATTTTGTCGTTGTATTTCTTCCAAAAGATATATTTAAAAAAATTTCATAGAAAACAGTATGGCTGTTTTATACACATTCTTCAATCATTTATTGACAAGCTAGTCTAGAAGTTACCAAAATGTCTGATCGAACGTTCTTCACCAACCAAAGGGTGTGGCGACCATCAATATGCATTGTTTCTTTACTCTTTTCTTGCAAACAGAAATTATATTTACACAATTGAAACTTCCCTTTAATGCGACATTGATTAATAAGAATTGCATAATGCTTAGCTGTGGTTTACTTTGTACACGTTATATTAAATGACGTTACATACCTTTGGTGAGGGTGTGTATCAAAAGCGTATTGATAAAATATAATCAAAATAATGATTGATAGAGCATTTTTCTTTGTAATTATTCTGGAAGATGGATTTGTAAAAACGTTTATTAAGAATATTGTTTTGATATTATAATATAGCATAAAAGGCATTTACAGAATGCATTAAAGGAAATTGTCATCCATCAAATACATTTAGCTATATGCTTATGAATAATGAAAATAAACTCCAAATAAAATAATATTAGTCGAACTGTTAAAGCTAATGTAATATTACTTTTCAATCAACTCTCATACGTTTCATTAACATTTCAAAATTCAAAATACATTATTCGTTAAAATATTTACATGGACAAGACAAAAAGTTCATAAAATAACGACTTTCAGTAAGAGAGCAGATAAAACATCTTTGACAGATCTTATCGTCGAAGTAATGGTCACAGCAGGAGGTCCCTTTTCTTGTAGCTTTAAAAAAACAATTCAGATATGTCAGGACATGAAAAGCAAAATCCACCTATTAGTGGTCAGAACAATGCGAATTTCAGAATTCTTGGAAGACCCCGTTTCAAAAGGCTTCCTTTCAAATATTTATAGCGTTTTTAATACTACTACAGATGTAGTAATAAATTCTGGAGAGTTTTCAATTCCATATTTTACAATAACATACAAAAAATAAACTTGTTTCTGTATAGAATGTTTGCCACACAACTTTAAAGTGTTCTTATTTCTTCAGATACATTAAAGATGCTGAAAATATATCAGGAACAATTAATTAACAATGTTTTAAAGGATACGGTATAGCATAGTAACGTTTCAAAAGTATATTCATTTCATAATAATATGAAAAAAGAAAAAGATCAAATATATTATAGTAATTTCATATAATGTGAAAAAAAAAAATTGAAGCGTTTTTGAAGCACAGAAAGAAGTATGGATAAATATGGCGATGACGAAGAGTTTTCAAGCTTTTAAGTCCATTCAAGCAATAAAAAGCCATGCAAGAGCAAAGCAAACACAGACATCTAAAACATCAGATGTAGAATCAGGTGCCATGGAATATAATATACTGTAAAATCATATATTTTCGATGGGCCAAATTTTCGTGGGTTGAGAAAAATATATTGGTTCATGGGGATTTGATTTCGTGGAATAGGAATAGTTCAGTAGTAACATGTGTGAAAAATTGCATTTAGTGGTGGACATAAATTCTTGGGTCTCTTCATACCTCGAAAATTAAACCGCCACGAAAATTAGTGATTTCACCGTATTGTGAATGAAATCAGACATTTATTTAAAAATATATATCATATAGCATAATTCTGTCATGAAGCTG